GCGAGTTTAATTGATGTCCAAATTGGAAGGAACAATTATGTTTGTTATAAAACAGAGTACTAGAGGATGGGAATAATTACGAGCGTTTTACTTCACAAACGAAAGATTCTTATCGTAGAACAATATTTTCATAAAACAAAAAGTAAGATCTCAACAATCTTCAATCTTTAACACGTAGCTTACTTACTTGAAGCAAACTGTCGAGTGACTATTACTGTTGTATATTTTCCTCTTCTCTCTATCTCTCTCTCTTCATTATACTGACAAATGCGTATTCGCTTGCGTGTAAAATTAATAAACATTTCAATGAACATGTTGACGAACATATCGAGTTAATAATTTTAAGCTCGAGCTTCTAACGCGATATTAAGAACATCTTAATACTTTTGCTGACATTTCTCACCGCTAATCGCACTGTGTATTCGCGTTATCACGATCGAGGGGGAAAAAACAGTAACCATGAACTTTTACACTCTTGCCGATGTTCATAATGACGTACGTGAACAGCGTGCACGCGACGATATTTTGATAGAATTCGAGATAACGTGTCGACTCTGACAATTTTTTGTTTCTTCTCAAATCTATAAATATGTGTCACACTATCGTACGACGAGTTGCAAGACGCGTTTAATCGTGAATTTGCAACAAATTGCATTCTGAACAGCCTAACTAGTCGTTCAGCTGTTCTTATTGCTGTGGCTTATAATTATAATCCTATCAGCAGATTGTAGATAGATCGCAATTTTTGTGAATGTAATCAAAGGAATGAAACTTAAATAGATTTTCTTTTCTGTCACTAATTGTAAATATTTTTTTGATATTTTATATATTTACATATTTTTGGATATTCTGTATTTTCGCATCTTTAAATTTCCTAAAAATCCACGATCTACTCGGTTGAACTGAACAGTATTACGTTAAATCAGTGAATATGAAAAATATATTTAAATATAAGATTTTTTCTGAAATAGATGTTTTGAAAATGAAGAAAAAATTTAGGATATAACTGACACATAAATCCTGTTTGTTTTAATCATAAATATAACTTAAATAATAACAGTTTATAAATAAGTATTAACATCTTCAAAAACATAATTTTATCTGCCAAAGAAACATACTTTACACAGTCATTTAAACTTTTGAACGATATACAGTGTATTCTGATTTACAAAACATATCCTGATGAAATTGTTCGCAAGAAGATTTAATTTTTTATATCTTAACGTGTGTGATTAAATGTTTCAAAGTATAATATAAATTACTGCGTACAATGAAAGTTCCAATAGTCGCTAATTAAGCCTTTAACTTCATAGCATTTTACGTTCTTCCTCGATCGCGAAAGAAAATTCGATCGTCAAAACTAATTATCGAGGCAATCAAACTTCAAAATAGATATTGAAATTATTGCGATTATCTTTTCAATATCATGCAGTGAAACGAACAAAAAACAAAAAAAAGAGAACAATTGTTCGATGCTACGTTCATAAATTAATCATTTTACGGATTAATCTGCAGACTGTGATTTCAATTTTTTCCCAGTAATATCAAAGTACAATCTAGTCTGCGGAATTTATTTATAAAATTCATTAAAATATATTGTAATTATAGGTTCTTGCATCATTTTCTGTATGAAATTTGACATTTGACGATTAAATACGACTTGTAGTGGAAACATTGATCACAAAGAAAAGTTTTATTTCTTTATACTGAATTATATGAGTATGATTATCAGTGTTTAGAAGGTCAAACGTTTAGTAAAAATTTAATATTTTATAAATTTCTACTCAAGCCTGTCATCACGTTTCGCGAAACAATTTTTACTTCGAATCTAATTTTAATAAAGAAAGTATTAATTATCCAGCAAGAATTAATAGTTTATCATACAAAATATTTTAGTATTTTCAATATTTTCAACTGAACCAGTTGAGGCAGTATCATTGGTGTAATGTATTCAATGAAATCGAAGAACTTTGAGTTATGGAGTATATCTGTATTTAAATATTCATTTTTATTCATTTTGCACATATTATGCACTTGGAAAATGAGAAGAGATTTTTATGCATTGATAGGAAATGTTTGAAGTGCAAAATTTTAATACACGTATGTAACATAAAGAAAGCATATGAAATATCTAAAGTGTGTTTTATTTAGTATTTAATTTCTTTCAATTACATTCCCAAAAACACTAATCTGCTATTCCTAAACGTTCGTAGCCCATTTTCACAGTCATCAACATTCGAGACTGATTGAATTTTAAATTCAAAATCAAACCGCAAGATTCGAGAAACTCGGAACTCCTTTGAAACTGAGAGTCGATCGTCCATCAGATCTGTCCGTGAAATCTCGTCGAAAGCGTATCACGAACGAATGTACACATACTTGGCAGCGTGAGCGTTCGCAGATGCGCGAAGGGGTTAATAGGCTAAATACATACAATTCCACGTCGAGCGCATCGCTGAATGAAACACTACTCCGTGGCGAACAAAGCACGACCTGGCATGATGTTCTAATTACGAAGCACACTTCCGCCTAACGAATTCAGCTATCTCTCGCGTTGCACCTGCCATTCACGGCTAAGAACCGGTGTCCGTCGGCGGGTTATAGTTGTCGACCGCCTACGAGGCGTCCGACTCCGTAGTCTTCGAGATGATTGCTGCTTTTCGCCGAGTATATTCCGCTCCATACACGCGTACAGCATTAGCATAACACGATCTAATTGATGCCGGTCGTACGGTGCGCCTATGTAAGCCTTCGCCTCTCACCGCGAACCTCTCCGTCCGATATACAACTCGCGCGTGCATACAACTACATACGCGTGTTCCCACGTGGAAAATCGCGAGTTGTTTGCCGCCGCGGCAACAAATTGAGGAATACAGATGAAGAGAAACATTGATCGAGATTTAAAGATATAAAGATGCATTGTTACCTGTGCGAAGATGAAATGGCTGGGACTGTCGGGATTTTTCACGCGTCCCTCCCAGGAGAAATGGGAAGGAAATTTGTTTCATTAAAATGGAATAATGTACATTCTACAGTTCTGCACATTGATGTTGATTTTTATAAACATAGCTAAAGAAATGGAAATCAAATTTCATTCCGTTCATTATACCGACGAACTGCTTTAACTCTGGGTACTTTCTACGTGTTGATATTAATTTTTATAAACGTAGCTAAATAATATATGTCATAATAATAATAAACGTAGCGTAACGGAAAAGAAAGTTTCTTCCATTCATCAAATATTATTTATTATTATATTTATTATTCATTAAATATTACAGACGAATATTCTAGCTTAGATATTTTACACATTTCTGTGTATTGATATTTGATTTGTATAAACTAAGAGGCTAAAGAAGTGGAAAAAAGCTTGTTTCATTCATCAAATATTATGACGAATACTCTATCTTGGATCGTGTGTACTTTCCCTATAAATGGGAAAGAACATTTATAGGTAATCATACATTTATTTTAAAAATTATATTAAAATTTAGAATAATTATATTTATTATTTCTGAATTTTTTTTTTTGAACATTTTTTCATAGATCAATTTCTCCATCAATTGAAATTAATATACTATGACCTCCGAAAATAATTAAAGTATTTAATTACGTTGAAATTCCAATATTAAATACATTTACTTTAATTACTTCTAGATTTTATATTACTTTAAGACATTTATATTTTATTAATAATAATTTTAATAAAAAAATAAAAATATTATTATCTACAGTTATTATAGGAATATATTTTTCTCTAATTCAATTAATCGAATATAAAAATTCATATTTTTGTTTAAACGATAGAATTCATAGATCAATTCTTTTTTTTTTTTATCTACTGGATTTCATGGAATTCATGTTTCAATTGCCCACAAAATCTGCACTCTATTAATAAACGGATTAGAAAGGAATGTGTAAAGATGCTAATATCGTGGATATTGGACACGGACAGGAGTAGTATCGAAAGCAGAAAATATAATGGAACAAATTGTACACAGCATAGATGAAAGAAATACTTGAAAACAACGTTGACAGGAAATGCTAACAGGAAGACTATCGCTGGTAAATGGTAATAGCAGATAGAAAGGAATGTGCTAACGTGGCAACAAATCTGAAGGCATGGTTATTAGATACGGATCGAAAATAGAAAATACGCCGTGATAACAAATCCGATGAGGCAGATACTAGAAACATCGAAATGGCAAGATACGCTGTTAAAGTTAATCGAGAGTAGGAAGGAATGCGCGAGGACGCAGCTAACGCGGTAACAAATTTCGAAGATATGGATATTAGATACAGTGGATAGAATGTACAGAGGTAACGATAGCAATAGAATAGAAGAATATAAAAATATTGTTCATGTGGTAACAAATTGGTGGATATCGATGGTAGAAATACTCGAAACTAACGATTGCTCGGAGCAGTATACAAAGGTGTTGCTGGTAGAGAGAGGTGCGTGTAGACATTGTTAATGTGGTAACAAATCGAAGAAGATAGTGAATAGTATCAACTATCGCTGGACGCACAGATCTATCTTTTCGATCAGTCGAAAAGAGCAAAACGCGGTCATTAATTAGACTGTGATTTATTAAGCCTCGGGTGTACGTCAAACTAATATTTCACGGCATTCCTGAAATGCGATGGTGATTGCAAATCATCGAATTTAGAAGACGGCAAATGTTGGCCGAGGAGTGTGCCAGTTCGATTAATTCGAACGAGTTGCGTGAGAGCCCGTGGACATCGACGGAAGTTGTGACATCGGCGCGATTAACTCGAGATGTTCCTGTCATTCAAAATTTCGATTATCCTTTCGGGACGGTCTTCTCTCGAAATTAGCGACTGCTCATCGATTATGCGCGTGTATAATTTATCTCGTTATTCAAATAACGCACCAGATCGTGCGATTTTAAATTGAGGAAAATATCATTCGGTACGCGCTTCGTTCGTAATTTACGAATTAACGTCGATTAATTTCGCGAACGAGGAATTCAAAAATAAATGAGAAGTCTCGACGTATGACGTTTCAGTACCGTATTCGCCATTAATAAAGTATGTATGTTTACGTAAGTCGAACATTTTCAGTTTGTCAATGTTTTTATTTCGTAACTTCGTTCCAAAATCCTCGAAATTGTTATCCCGTTACTTTACGTTTCACATTAACTTGCTATCCTTTCTACGCGATAAATACTTTATAAATACGTGCAAGTCCGCTCAAAAGTTTCCAAGACAAAACATACTTTTACAATATTTTAATATTTCAATATTTTCGAAATTTTTGCGATACAAAAAAAAAATCTGTAAAGTGTATGATAATTTAACTAACGATAGATGCTGAATATTGAGAACAAAAACCAAAACTTTTCGTGTATACATATATGTTACTCACTGTCAATTATATCTACGTAGACACACGCATGAATATTTATTGCACTTCTATCTACTTGCTCATTGACGTCAAAAAATTACATTACGGACCGACGATCATTAAGAACAAACACGACGAGAGGAGGGAAAAAGATGATTTAGAGGAACTAACAAGTGATTTAATAACGACTGGACGATTGACGGAGGTCCGGATAGGCTGGATATAATAAATAAATCGTACGGGTTCGACAATGAGCAGGCGTGTTTGCAATTAAAACTGTCGTGAATCATTTTTCTCCCAGGGAAATGAAACGAGGCGGTGAAAGTCTATCGAGCCAACGATAAATAACGTCACCTCGCAGTCGCGGACAGTAAAAATGATTTTCAATATATACGAAACGATACGTTTTTGCCCCGTCTAGAGTTATAAAAAAACTACAAGAGAGAGAGAGAGAGAGAGAGAGAGAGATAGGCGTGACTTTACCATTTCTTGCAATTGCAACGCGATTCGCTGACGCGCGTAAAAGAAATCCGACGTTTTCATAGGAGAAAAGCGGAGATAAATTTTAAATTAGATAAATTTTGGAAACATTAGATGCTGAAGAAAGTTCGTCAGGCGTTTTGTCAGCAATTAATGCGTTGCTCATTGGTCTATTTCTATAAATATTAATAAAATGAGCGTCTTCTGTTTCTGTAAATGTTAAGAAGATTGTCATAGGAAATTTAACTTGAAATTAAAAACGCGCTTTCGTTGCACTTTGCATTGCAACGTAATATGTAAAAAAAGAAAAAGAAAAAAAGAACATGAAATATTTCGTGTCCTTTCGACAGCTAACGTGTTCGAGAATTCTTGAGATTATGCTGCACATCGAACGCGCGTGAAGATTCATACGAACGTTTTTTTTTCCTTTTTTTTTTCTTTTTTTATAAAACTAAATAATTACGTATTTAAATAAACACGAGTGATTATAGACGAGTAGTTTTTTCGCGATAATTGAAGTCACTGAAATTAAAATCTTTATAACGTGTCATGAATATTCTAACAGGAGCATAAAATGAAAACTTTATGGAAACTAAGCGAGCGAAGTCCCTTTTTTACATGTACGTTTATAATATCGCATTACTTGTGCAACACTGCACATCCTTTTCGTAGATTTAAATACCTGTGGTAACCAGACTGGAGTAATTTTTTTATACGTTTTTCGACTTTTATGAAAAATAATTAACCCTTCAGGAACAACGTTTTGCGCGCAGTAATAACCCCCGTAGCAATAACCTTTGCTAAAAGTTATTTCAACAGTGAATAAACGAAATAAGACAAAATCAGCGTGTGACCATTTAGCGTCACTATTTGAAGCTGTAAAAATTAAATTACGAAATAAAATCAGATAGCCTTCAAACCCTATCGAAAGCTATAAAAAAAATTCTGAACGTTAGACTTCGTTCTTGAAAAGGTAAAGAAAAATAGAATCAAAATAAAAATTTGTTCCTTTCATTAAATATTATAATAAATACTCTGCTTTATACATACTATCACACTTTTGCATATGAATTGTGAATATTTTTGCAACTTCAAAGTTTCCACGTGCAAAAATTCGCAGTCTATCTGACAAATCAACGCAGAATGTTTAACGTTCGCCTTTGTTCCAAAATGAAATTCGTATAAAAAAAAATCGTTGAATTTATCGTTCACCGTTGGTGAACACCGTTAGATATTTACCACGTGTCGTGAGCGATCACCAGTGGAAATCAATGGTCTCGGAGACGTGGTCGTGATCGAGGTGAGACACACGCGAACGACAGCCGCTTCCTAATCTGTAGCTAATCGAAATTGTAAAGAGGGAATTGTTGGTATAAATCGGTGTGCTGCGTTATAAACTCTCTGTCATTGAGCGTGGAATAAATCGTTCTCCTGACTGGCTACAAGTCAAGCAGAGCCGACACGATCGCGTTGTCAAGTCTCGTTTAGTAATTACTATGCGCATAAACGTTGCCTTTCGGCGTCAGATTATCATTCCGCGGTGTGGCTGCATTTTCACCGAAATAACCTGAGTAACAGTTTGATCGTTGACAAAAGCTTTGAGCAGCCCTTTCAATTATTCAAAATGGAATTGTAAAAACGTGTGATTGCATGATGTTTGTGATTTAACGTTATTTTATGGAAGTAAAAAAAATTTCAAATATTTGGGGATATAAAAAAAAAATTTGTTGGATCTTGGAATTCCTCGATTGCATAATATTAGTTACTCAAGTCCTCACGTCTGTGAAATTTTGAATATCTCGAACAGAAAAGGAAGAGTTTTGGATGGTTTATAGATTTTGATTATTCTGTTAGTTAGAATTGGATCATTTCTGAAATATCGACAATGTTTGAAGGAATATATAAATAAATGGAAACGAAGATTTTTCTTACAAAAATCTATATATAATTACGATGTATACAATAAAACAAATTTTGTACATGTGTGAATGTACAAAATTTCTGCTTCGAGAAATAGAAAGATCTCAATATAATTTATTTAACAATTATTAACTTGTGCACACAAAAAATGTATTCAAAATATTCTTATCATTTTTCTTCTCACGTTTACACACGTTTAAAAAAGTCACAGTTGAAAACTTTAATTCAAACATTTTTGCGTATCTGTCCGTCTGTCGTTAAAAACCATCGTCGTATTAACGAAACTCTTAGAGAAAAAGAAGAGTGTAGCATGAATTGTTCGTGGATTATAATTAATGTCCGTTTTGATGGTCATGAAATGTTAATTATAGCGTCCACCGTCGAAAGATCGGCGAAACTCCATTTGTATTGGATCACGAGACGTCCGATTGATAAATTCGAAACTAAAACCGCGTCACACTTGCCGCTTAACATTGTAACAGCAGATTGGATCCGAGTCGGCTTGATTGTGCAATAGATCGTTCGCATACACGTACACCGCTCGCTATGAAAACGTTACAACTGACATTTCCACTGACTAATGGCGATTGGATCTTTAACAATAACAAACGAGGATACATCTCTGCCGAAGACCCTTCACAATCGCTGCGCGCGACATTTCGATTCACCGTGAAGATGACGCGAAGATGAAGATTATTCGGTGTTATTATCGAAGGAGGAGTTATTTTATTTTTTCCAATAATTTTACAATGTGAAAATTGCATTTATGGTTTGGCAAAAAAAAAAAAAAAAAAAAAAAAATGAAATTTTAGATAGACGTTTAGTGAACCTATCGGAGAGAACAAGTTATTTATCGAATTCAATGTTTAGACAAAATGGATTCAGTTTGCTCTTTGGAATAAGTTACTCATTTAAATAACAATGATAATAAAAATATATGATAACGTATTAATCAGTAGATATATAAATTGCGTTTCGTTAATTAGAAATGCTGTATTACATATTTCCATTTACGAGATTTGTTGATGCTAGATCCTTCAGACTTTCCAAACACTGTAAATTAATTGCATTCCTTCCTTAACTGCAGCACAGATACTTACTTGCCTTCACTCGCGTTCATATAAGCGAGACAATGTTGACTCAAGAATACGAATCTTAATTGCATATCTACAAAAATTACGTTCGAACGATGAAGGTTTACCAGGCATCCGTAGCCGCGCCAATTCCGTATCGAATCACAGGGCCTAATTAAAAAAAGGAAGAGCACGATTAAAAATCGGCAGATGACAAAAGTAAAAAACTCGCACGAGAAAGGAATGTCCACGACGTGTCGTCAGCTGTGAGTACACATTGCACCCATCTGTTACACAAAAGCGGCGGGCTCGAACCGGTCGAGTGGCGCGGCCAATTATCACGAATTAAAAACTCACGCCTGGACAAGCGTTGAAATCACCGGAGCCGCGACGAAGGGCGGCAGCGTCGAAACACCGTGCGCGCCGGCCACAGATCCTTGTGTATCGTATATCAGCGTAACGCTGCTCACGGACACGTTCCACGATCCCTATAAAAACTTCTTCCCCTCCCTCCCCTCGCCCCTCATGAACGTGTAGCTCGCGCTCGCGCTCTCCGCCTCGTACGTGTTTTCGCGCGGGTGTGCGAAACGCGCTTGTACGATCGAGCTCTCCGGAGTCCCGTTAGCTTGAATCCCTCTGGACCGGAC